CAATCGCGCAGCGCAACGTACGCGAACAAAGCTTCGCAGCCTGAATTCTTCCGTCCTTCCCCGCCCTCCCCCGCGCGATGTAATACATTCTCTCTTTCGCGTTGTTATTTCTACCCCCTCAGCCCGCTCGCCACGCCGGCCACCCCTTCGCAGGGAGGACGGTGTCGACATAATAATTACTCGTCGCGTTCGGCTCCTACGAATAATGGATATTCCGACTGTGACAATGAGGACGCGACCGCCCGCCCTTCCCCGCGGCCCAAACGCGGGACTCGCGCGCGTGTAAATGCATGTAAAATAACGCGGACGAGCGAGGGTGGAATATAAACACGTCGTCGTCGGACCGAAAGAAAGGGGGACTGCACAAAAGGTGGCGAAGATGGTCTCGATGGGACGGGTTGCTTTCGCGTCTAGACTTAAAAAGCGGGCGCACGACGAAAAACGCGGAATTTGAGGGCGCCTGCACGTATACCTGTGTATACGTACCACCCACCCCGCCTCACGCGTTTCTCCCCTTCTGGCTCGCCGCCCTCGAGTCCCTCCCGGCCTTTATTTGCCCTCCTGAAATTAACCGTCGTCCGACTTACTTCCGGACGTTACTTTCCCACATCCCCCTTCGCGCAAATCGCCTTATAGATTTATTTATCGCGTAATTAATCGCGTGTTTATCTAGGGTTGGTAAGAACCTAATACGCCCTAAGTGTACCCTAACGAACATTTGATGGCTCATCCGGCCCCTCCGCCTTCCGTGCGTTTCGTGCGTGGATATCATTTCGACGCGCCGCTTTATTTGCTAATGTAGCTACCAAATTTCCGTAAAAAGTGGCCGCAAGGAAACGTAGTTTCACTGCGCAAACGGTGTTCAAGTTTTCCACGACACACGGTGGAGAGTCCGCGTGTCCCGAGACACACGAGGATCGCCCTCGCCCTACGCCGTTTCCAAGACGGTCCCCTCCGCCGTACGCGAGACGTGCGCCTGCGAAAGATATCGAATGATATCTGTGTTAAAAGGACGCGGGCGACAAAAGTTCCCCCGCTTCTCGGGCGAGCGTAACGTAAAGCCGGGAATGTCGCACCGGTCGTGCGGACATTACGTCACGCCGCCTCGCTCTCGCGCGGAGACTGCGCAAAACGGATGGACACGCGGTGTGTGTGTCAGCCCCTAGAAAATTTACGTGCGTTTACACCCGTGTTCCCGGACCACTCCTGGATTACATTCAGCACCTCTGCTCCGCTCGCTATAATTCAATCCCGGCCAGGTCGGGACGTGTCCATGACAGGCCACGGGTCATTCGCAAACGTGGGGTCAGCAGAGAGGAACGACAGTATTAGCGCGCGCGCGCGCACACACATATACATATATATATGGGGGTTGCGAGCGGGGAGGAGGTGTCGTAGCTTTTTACGAGCCACCAAGTTCGGAACTGGGCCAACCGCGACCGCGCGTGCCTCGCAACCATGGTGGCGCGCGGGGTTCTGGGTCGAACGAAATTCTCGTAACTGATACACGGGAGAAGAGCCGCATGGGGTGTGCGTACCGCGTGTCCCCGGCCGATCGAAGAGGACGGTCGTGGATCGTCCGGCTGCGTTCGGATGCCAGCGCGAACTCGCACGTCGACTCGCAGTCGGCGGCGGGGTACGAGATATAGATACGCGCCTCTCGCGCGGATGGGATAACGAATCGCCGGCGGGGTACTTCCGAGGATACATCTCCGTGATGTACAGCCCGTCGTGGCGCGGGCACCAGCGTTTCCCGACGTGTACATACGATGCTGCGGTGTTTTCCTCGCGTCTCCTTCCGGATCACCCAGTTCCACGGCAGTCTTCCTACCCCCCCTTCCCGTCCCGACCCGCATACCCACCTACTCCCCTCCGACACAGTGGGGGGAAAATTTGCGCAGTGTCCTCCTACCGGAGGGGTGGTCGCCGAGATAGCGGCGGTAGTCACGGTCAAGACGATATTGGGGATCGTCAATAAACAGCCGCGCGAACGACTTCACAGGCGATCCCTAACGACCGACGCGAATGGAAATTACGGGCGCGGGGAGTACTATAGCCGAGCTAAGACCGAATAGGGCACGGTGAACGGAATTGGCGGGAGAGAGGAACCGCGAGAGGGTTAACGGAGAGAGGGGATGCACAACGAGAGATCGGGGACGACGAGTAGGGGTGGTACCGGGACGGAGCCTGCACGGAGGTTGCTGTCGACGCCCTGCCGTTGCTTCCTGGTTTCCCTATATTGATTTTCCACCGCGCGCGTGAGCTAGAGAGAGACGGAATGGAGCCGAGAAACGTTTCCCCTCTATGTGCATGTGGGTGGGTGTGTGTGTGTTCGCGCGTGAGTCCAGTGCTTGTGGGTGCGTGGGTGCGCGCGTGCGCCCGTGTGCGTGCACGCGCGCGCGCGCGGAACAGCCCGGGAGAGGGAAGCGGATTGGTACCCAGGTGGGGTCCGGAGGGCCCGCGTGCACGAGGAAGGAAGAGACACCAGGACCAGGGGGTTACACGGGCGGCGCGAAGGGGGCGCGTTCGAGGAGAAGGTGGGGCCACCTTTTGCACCTCCACTGGCCATGCCGGCGTGGAAAGATGGGCACGATTATTCGACATCAGGGGGTCCACCCCTTTCGCTCCTCTCCGCTCCATTCGTACAATATATACCTGGGTACATCCGTCTCTCCCTTCTACCCCCTCCGCTATCCTCCCTCCCCCCGCGTTTGACCAAATAAGTGTCACGGCCGTTTCCTTCCAGGACGACGGCGAAGGCCGCGCTTCGCTCGCGTCGGCGTAAATTTCAATATTGGTCCAGGATGGCCGAGACGCGTGAGTATCATCACACGTTGTGAGAAATTTATTTATACATCGCGTATCGGGTAAAGAGTTGCATAAATTAAATTTACAATTTATTGAGTACACGAATTTTTACTAGCAAGTGTACTTGGTACTCGTACGTTTTGCTAGTAAAATGTACGGCAACATTTCGAAAAGCTCTCATAAAGTTTCTCCAACATGCCGTGTTGTCCCGCGATTACATTTTCAGAGTAAATTTTAAAAGGAACTTCTCTCCGTGCAGCGCTAATGCGCAATGAGATATTGTTTATACACATTATTCTAGTGTTTAAGTATACTTCGGGAACAAAAGCTCTGCGACAAGTTTCAAGTCGGTCTTTTCTTAGATCTTTCAAATATTGCGCTATCGAAACTTCGCATATGTATTGTCCAGCTTGACGCATAGGTCATGGATTGTTCATAGATGTTTTCTAAGGGCAGACAGGGTAAAAATATGGAACATTTATAGCTGCCATAGACGTTCCAAGACATTTCCGTCCACTCGGCGATGCTCCAAGGGGGAGCATTTATTTGCGCGAATAGACATTTCTCCCGCACCGTGCCATCGCCCGTTATTTTTCGTTACATCGGCCGTTCTTCTCAATTGGTCACCTTCAAAGGTTCTCGGTTCTCCTCCGTTATCATGTCCTACCCATTTCTTTCCCCCATAACTCCTTGTCTGCTTCCTTTACGAGACACTACATGCACGGGAAGAAATCAGGGCAAAGAAATCATTACAAAAGGAAGACGTACTCGCGCGGATTACTCTTGATAAATTCGAGGAAGCACGGAAAAAAAACGCTTTACGCTACATCTTAATACATTCGCTCAAGCTAAACTAGGTAAATAAGGGTGTATTTGGTCCCTTCCTTTTACACGTAATATCCCTGCTACTGTCATCTCGCGTAATCATCGTTCGAAGTAATTTATAAATACATAAAATATAATACAACTTATAATCGTTCACTGTTTAGTGTTCGTAGGAAATTGTTGTAGCTTTAACCCTTTGCACTCCGAATTATATTTCATCTTTTTTCATCTATTGGTTTGGACTTGAAAAAAATGTCGAGTGAGACTCGACAAAGAAGCTCCTGAGATAAAAACTGACGTCGAGTCACACTCGACATAGGAGTGCAAAGGGCTAGACGTGCAATTAAATTGGCAAATCTCTGCATAATGACGCGTAAATCGACCGAGATTTACGGACGATGCTGGATATGACGTATCGACCTGATTGCGAAGATTAATTTTTCGGGGGCCGACCTTTTTATCGAACCTTCCGCGCGTGGAAGTCGACAATTCCGTCGGGTCCGAAATAAAAAAAAGAGCCGCGTCGGCCTTATCAGACTTTCGTGAGGAACACGGCGTTTCGGCCGCGCGATAGCCGAAAATAAAGGGAAGGAAGCGGATGTGCATTAAGGGTGTGGCGCCGACGGCGGGGATAGACTTTTGAATACATCCGCGCTTTAACTGCACTCCCCGATTCGTTACAAGTGGCCTATTACGGGCCTTTCTCTAGCCCGTCCTTTATCCCTGCACTTTCTTTCCTGCCGCTCGCCGGGTGGCAGGGCGCTTCTTTCTTATACTTCCACCCACCGCCGGGAACGTTACTTCTCTTATCGTTTTTCAAGTTCTCCCGCTTCACTTGTCCTCCTCCCCGGGAGCGCCGCTGGTTTACGCGGTGTTCCATCCAGTACATTCGCTCACCGCATAGGAAAGCTTTTTCCTAACCAGAAGTAAGCACCTTATCTCTTGAAATGGCTCGCGGCGGAAATTGAAAAATCCAAAATTCATGGAGCTTTATGCGCGCGACTTTTTGTATATTATAGCGAGAACGCCCGGCGGCCCTTGTCTCGCGCGAGACAATCGTCGTAATGGGGACCCGCCAAGTATCGTCGAAATTAAGTGAAGTAGGCAAACACTTCGTCGCCGATGCACTTCGAGATTCATAGACCCGAAAAGAGCCAGATTCTATTCAAATGCCGCGTATCCAGGGTACATAATTGCGAGCTGCGGTAACTCGTAACGTCGTAGTCCCTATTTATAATCGCTTAAAATTATCCCTAGTATCGATGCCTCGAAAGAAGTAGCTTTTCCTCGTAAAACATAATGCGACAATTGCGTTATAGGCGCCGTTACTAATATAAGACTCATGGTGCCTCCTCGATATTTTCCAGGATCGCATGACGGCTAATGGAAACTCCCCGTTAGACAACATGAGGACTTTGGAACACTATCTGAGCGACATAATGCGAGCCGGCGCGGCGGATACCCCGGAACATCTGAAAGGTATGTCTCATATTTTCCTAAGCTGCGCGTGCAATTGAGACGACACGCAACGAGCGTGCAATATCCGCCAAGGTAGCGGAAGATTCACGCGTTAACGCCGTTAAGCCGGGAAATCCCTTCGAGTCTTGCGTCGTAATTTCGAGAGAGTTCTGCTCTCTTTCGTTTACGACGCCCGGGCATGTGTTAACAATCCCACGAAATATCTTACGAGAGCTGTTACACTCCCGCTAAAAGCTGCCACCGGTCTTATCCTTGAACCTGCGACTCGAATCTTACAACGTCGTGCCGCAATCAGTTCGATGGATTTCCAACCGCGATCGTTTAAAAAAAGAACATACTTAATAAAAAAAATACCAGCGACGATCTTAAAAAAAAACCGACGGCTAAATGTAGACTCGTTAACCATCCGATAATATTAACTTGTGAATGACGCGTTATCGTCATTATAAATGCACGTAAATATAGTTTGGGGGGGCAAATCGTATGAAAACTCACACGTGTTATTGAACTTTACGCGTTCTGAAATAGAATAGAATAGATCTCAATTGTAGATCGTCTTCAAGTAAATTCGACAGAAGACGGAAAGCGACGTAAACTTGGCCGACTGCCACAAATTTTGTATTATTGCGCGATAACGTGACAGTGGCGAAAGGGAATGCGACTCTCAATAATTTTACGGACAAATTGGGAAAGACGCATTTTATGACTCCAGTCCTTCGCCGATATCGACCATTCCAATTATACGTCGCGCAGCGATAAAATATAGCGCGGTGTCCGCTTTACGTCTTATTTCTTCATGTTGACGTAGCGCGACGTTCGTGATCACGTGTATATACATATATATACATATATATATATGTTTCGCGCATCGATCTTCAGTCGTAACGTTGCATTTAATGCACCGTTTGATTACGTCGCTTCGAGTCTACGTCTATTACGTGGAGAGTGCACTCGAGGTCGATCGCCCCGATATGAATCCGCGTAAACGCGCGATATAACGATGCCATTGAAATTGAAGAGCAATTAGCGCGCGTAGCCGAGTACGGGATCTACATGAAAATATTTCCCAGTGCCATTCAGCGTACTGCGAAATTTTAATCCTCTCGCAAATTTATTTGTGACGTTTCGCGGCGGGGCCGACCCACCCGAATATTAACAGGACGGCGATTCTGCGCGAATACGAGGGAAACACGCCTATCCATTTTAGCCGATCCGCCGCGCGAAATATTGTTGCGCCGTGGCGCGGCGGCGGCGATCTTTGCACGAACGGGGCCTCTTACGGGCAGGACCGGGGACCAATCGAACAACTAACCAACCAACCCAACCCCAGAATGATCACTCGACGCAGCGTCGGAGCACTCTGCGCCCTCCACTCGACGCGATTCTACTCACTTTACGTCGGCACGTAGAGAGACGACGCCATGCAACTATGCGGTGCGTGCGTACGGACGGACGGATGAACGGACGTACATCGCGTTGGGAGGAGTGAGAGAGCGAAGGCTGTGGAGGCAGGACGACATGCGTCTCGTCTGCGTCGCTCCTCTTCTACCCCTTTCGCTCCTCATTTTCTTTTTTGTGTCCGACCTGTCTGCCGGAAGAGAAAGAGAGAAAGAAAGGAAGAGGGAGGCAGAGAGAGAGAGAGAGAGAGCGCCGTCGAACCCTTCAGACGAGCGTTCTCGCACCCTGTAGTCAAGGGCAAGGGTGCCATCGCCGAGCGTCTACCGTGTCGGGCAGTTTCCGTACGACGAAACCGTACAACAGCCAAAGGAGGGAGAGAGAAAGAAAGAGGTAGAGAAAGGGAGGATGAGCGGAATCAGGGGTTGGACACCCCGGCGCGAAAAATCTCGAATTTTTCCCTAGCGAACTTCAAACGAGCCCGTCTACTTGATCCAAAAAGGGTCTGCCGCGAAAGTCTTGTTCGCCTCGGAGAGGCGGGCGACGGTGCAAATAGGAGAGCGCCGAGTTTAGCGGAATGTCTATAATCCGGCATCGTTGGGATTTATCGATCGCACCGCGCTTCTAGGGGAAGACAATGCGAGCGCTGAGGAGGTAGCTACCATTGACGGGTCACGAAGAGGGTAACCTGGATTAGGTGGGTGTATGATAGTCGGGTATCTGTGTTGCTCGCGGGTGCATAGTGCATTACTGAAGTTGCCGGGAGTATTCAACGGGAAATTAGGACGAGGTGATAGAGCGTTAACGTGCCCTTTTAGACTATTGTCGGAATTGTTTCTTTTTAACCCCCGAGAACGCGAATGCTTTTATAAATGGCGTGAGAGAAAGGTTGTTTGAAAAATTACGAGGTCTACAGTTCCTTGCAATTATTCTTCTCCGGTGTAACGATAATAACTCTGCTCATTATATACCGTCTTCCGAGTTGTTTTTAAATTACATCGCGCTATCGATTGGGGAGGGATTGCAGAAAGAGAGACATAACTTTAGGCACGTCCGATAGACCTCCATTGTTTCGTATAATTATCTTGAAAATTATGACATTAGTGGTCTTCGTGGCGAGGCTCTTTTGTTTTAATCCACCGCGCACCTCGACCGCAATTAAAATCTGATCCGTTGGAAAATAAAGTTAAATAACGAGGTAGTATATAAATGAAGCAGCGTCGATGGCAGCGGGGAGTGTCAACCTCTCACAAAAGAGGAAGACGTGCTGAAGGAGATGAGCGACACCTCTTAAGAGAGCAGATGACGGAAGAAGTGATTGATGAGAGGAGGATTCGTATAGAGAAACGAACTTACAAAAATATATATTATTTTTCGGAAATGTAGATCTCTCTTGAAAAAAATTCCCTCAAAAAGAAAGTCTGAAAGCTTAGAGAAGATTATTATTATGTTTATCCTTAAAACTTACAAGTATTCCTAAAAATATCGTAGATAAACCACGGTGCATTCTCTCATACGAAATATTAATGCAGTCAGTTTTCTCACAATGGCGCTTGAATGTTACTTAACTCTGGACGGAGATATTTCAAGAATATAGGCTCCTTAAAGCTATTATTTTAGGAATCGATTCTCCCCGTGGCAACTTGCGCGGAAATACAAAGTAATCGGGTTCAAGCATCGCCCATCCTGGATTATAAAGTTTCAAATTCTCCAAGTTTATCGGCGCGTCCGGTTTCCGGTATACGGTACGTCTATTAGGAAGAAAACTTCCTTGAAGTTTGACGGTAGGGCCGGGCGAGGCGAGTCGCCCGTTTTCCTGCGGAGATGATACGCGAACGGGCTAACCGGTGTTATAGCCGGCTTTTCTAAAAACTTGACCTACTGCCACACGATGCCACACTAAAGTGGCACGACGACACATTTTTCGAGATGGCATCGCGGTAAAGTACGCCCGCTCAGCGGCTACTTCACAATGACACTGAGAAGAGAGCTTTTTGCTAAAAGAAAAAGCTATTCTGGCTACGAAGTTTAGCTTAGCTCGCGCCCTTTTCACTTCGAACTTTTCCCCCGTGAAAAATAGCACTTTAAATTTCTAATTTATCTTAGATAACGCCCTCGTTTCCTTGGCTACGACTACCTAGGAAGACAAATGTCCAAACTGAAAGAAAAGATTTTAAGTGGGCAAATAAGAATAATATTTGATTGCCTGTAACGCACATTGTTGAGATATTCATCTATAAAATGGAAAAAGTCTAAAGAAATGCGTGTACTCGAATTAAATCAGTCAAATGCGGAATATTTAACCTGGGAAAACAATACATATTTTTTTTAAGCTAAATCACTCGCTATCATCGCTCGTTCGTTTCTCTCACGTGACATTTTTTAAATTAAAATATCGTCACACACCACTACGGCACGGTACAGGAAGCGCTCGCTGCTGATAATAACATATAGAGGGTTGGGCAAATTTATCTTGCCCCTTTAATAAATGTAGTTTCATTCATGGATACGCGTGCGGATCACCCACGGTCACCTCTGAATAAACGGCGATGTGAGGCATTTAATATACGTTTCGCGCGTTCTTGAACAGCGCTGGCTTTGTAATTTCATTTTCTGACCTATATGTAACTGTCATGTAATCAGCTAGTAACACGACGGGATTCGTAGAGGGTGGTTTTAACGGCCGCGTTCTCCAACCACCTAGGGTTTCATTGGATTATGTATTCCATCCCCCATTCTCTCTCTCTCTCGCTCCACTTTTCACTCTATCCTCCACCACCCCTCCCTCACCTCTTCTCGAATCGTATATAAACGTGTACATATAATTGAAAAAGTGAATGGATAACGAGAGTATACGTGCACACAGAGCCAGGCTTACCGCACCGCCACGACCTTGAGGGAAAACAATTGATGCATGTGTGCGTATCCCGCGCTTTCAAATTAAACGCGGAGCTTTCTTAGCCGATGAGAACGTTTCGCGGGGATGTTTTGTGAGGAAACTATACGTGTGGGGAGGAACGTGAAATACGGTATTTGAACAGAAATCTAGATCCCACCGCCGCCGCCACCACCACCGGCGAGGGACGACGCCGGCTAATGCCATTTTCTTATTTACATTGAACGTATTCCGCGACGTATAAAACGTGGACTCGAGCCTCTGTATTTAACGCCGAATGTGTGCGAGCGCACGATAATAATTAATGAATCAGCGGTCTATAAATATTGTTAGCGCTCATATACTACGTCGGCGTAAAAAGTTTACCTCGATATAAAATCAAGTACGTCGAGGAGAAAACCACGTTCTGCAGATTTAAGTGCGCCGTGCAGAAAAGAATAGCGAATTTTCTTTTACGAGTCTGCATAAGTGGCGCAGCGTGATCGGTTCCCAGAAACAGTCTGTTATATATGTGGAAAATTAGATCCGAGGAGCATCAAATGTACTGCCGTTCTACGAGCACGTGCTCCAATGCGTCTTTATCGATTTTACAAAGTTCGACTTGGTTCTAAGAACATGTAGATCGTGGAAGGTAGAAACGCGAAGAGTCAATGAACTCCACGGTTTCTACGATCCACTGTAAACTCGGCGCGCGATTTTATTGATTTTTCACAATCCGACGCGCTGCTTTTCCAGTTAGCGGAAGTGACTGTGCGCCCTTCTGCCGCTGCCCGCCCCTTTTTCTTTGAATTTAGGGTGAGAAGCCTGCCAGAGGAGGAATTGCACAAAGTCAATGAACTTACCTTAATGAAACGCTTCTGCCGCCAAGTATATCGGTAGAACTTCGGTAGATTTAACGAGCTCGTATATTTTTCTTTTATCACAAGTGTTCTCATCACTGACGCTCGCACTACCGCTCCAGCTGTCAACCGAAGCGAGTAGAATTTTTTTTTTTAATTTTGACAAGACAATCTCTCCTCACAGACATTTCATTTGTTTTCCATTATTGGTCCATCAAAACTATACTGGTCTCAAACTCGACGTTTCTCCCGAAAATAATTGCGGCAGTTCTCTTGCCCTTCCTCGAGGTGGCGAGCTTCTTTCTATGGGGGTGGGTGGGAAGAAAGAATCACGGATTGAGGTCGCGCGGCCGTTTCATCGGCAAATCCACGGTGTGCCTGTCACGAGGTGGCGCCATCCAGATACGATATT